TAGTCGTACTATTAACTGGTAACAATTAACTAACCTTGTACGGCTCACACACAAACTGCACTGTTTCCAGATAGTCGTACTATTTACTGGTAACAATTAACTAACCTTGTACGGCTCACACACAAACTGCACTGTTTCCAGATAGTCGTACTATTTACTGGTAACAATTAACTAACCTTGTACGGCTCACACACAAACTGCACTGTTTCTAGATAGTCGTACTATTTACTGGTAACAATTAACTAACCTTGTATGGCTCACACACAAACTGCACTGTTTCCAGATAGTCGTACTATTACTGGTAACAATTAACTAACCTTGTACGGCTCACACACAAACTGCACTGTTTCTAGATAGTCGTACTATTTACTGGTAACAATTAACTAACCTTGTACGGCTCACACACAAACTGCACTGTTTCCAGATAGTCGTACTATTAACTAGTAACAATTAACTAACCTTGTACGGCTCACACACAAACTGCACTGTTTCCAGATAGTCGTACTATTTACTGGTAACAATTAGCTAACCTTGTACGGCTCACACACAAACTGCACTGTTCCCATATAGTCGTACTATTTACTAGTAACGATTAACTAACCTTGTACGGCTCACACACAAACTGCACTGTTTCCAGATAGTCGTACTATTAACTGGTAACAATTAACTAACTGTGTACGGCTCACACACAAACTGCACTGTTTCCAGATAGTCGTACTATTTACTGGTAACAATTAACTAACCTTGTACGGCTCACACACAAACTGCACTGTTTCCTGATAGTCGTACTATTACTGGTAACGATTAACTAACCTTGTACGGCTCACACACAAACTGCACTGTTTCCAGATAGTTGTACTATTAACTGGTAACAATTAACTAACCTTGTACGGCTCACACACAAACTGCACTGTTTCCAGATAGTCGTACTATTAACTGGTAACAATTAACTAACCTTGTACGGCTCACACACAAACTGCACTGTTTCCAGGTAGTCGTACTATTAACTGGTAACAATTAACTAACCTTGTACGGCTCACACACAAACTGCACTGTTTCCAGGTAGTCGTACTATTAACTGGTAACGATTAACTAACCTTGTACGGCTCTCACACAAACTGCACTGATTCCAGATAGTCGTACTATTTACTGGTAACGATTAACTAACCTTGTACGGCTCTCACACAAACTGCACTGATTCCAGATAGTCGTACTATTTACTGGTAACGATTAACTAACCTTGTACGGCTCACATACAAACTGCACTGTTTCCAGATAGTCGTACTATTAACTGGTAACAATTAACTAACCTTGTACGGCTCACACACAAACTGCACTGTTTCCAGATAGTCGTACTATTTACTGGTAACAATTAACTAACCTTGTACGGCTCACACACAAACTGCACTGTTTTTAGATAGTCGTACTATTAACTGGTAACAATTAACTAACCTTGTACGGCTCTCACACAAACTGCACTGATTCCAGATAGTCGTACTATTTACTGGTAACGATTAACTAACCTTGTACGGCTCTCACACAAACTGCACTGATTCCAGATAGTCGTACTATTTACTGGTAACGATTAACTAACCTTGTACGGCTCACATACAAACTGCACTGTTTCCAGATAGTCGTACTATTAACTGGTAACAATTAACTAACCTTGTACGGCTCACACACAAACTGCACTGTTTCCAGATAGTCGTACTATTTACTGGTAACAATTAACTAACCTTGTACGGCTCACACACAAACTGCACTGTTTTTAGATAGTCGTACTATTAACTGGTAACAATTAACTAACCTTGTACGGCTCACACACAAACTGCACTGTTTCCAGATAGTCGTACTATTTACTGGTAACAATTAACTAACCTTGTACGGCTCACACACAAACTGCACTGTTTCCAGATAGTCGTACTATTAACTGGTAACAATTAACTAACCTTGTACGGCTCACACACAAACTGCACTGTTTCCAGATAGTCGTACTATTAACTGGTAACAATTAACTAACCTTGTACGGCTCACACACAAACTGCACTGTTTCCAGGTAGTCGTACTATTAACTGGTAACAATTAACTAACCTTGTACGGCTCACACACAAACTGCACTGTTTCCAGGTAGTCGTACTATTAACTGGTAACGATTAACTAACCTTGTACGGCTCACACACAAACTGCACTGTTTTTAGATAGTCGTACTATTAACTGGTAACAATTAACTAACCTTGTACGGCTCACACACAAACTGCACTGTTTCCAGATAGTCGTACTATTTACTGGTAACAATTAACTAACCTTGTACGGCTCACACACAAACTGCACTGTTTCCAGATAGTCGTCCTATTAACTGGTAACAATTAACTAACCTTGTACGGCTCACACACAAACTGCACTGTTTCCAGATAGTCGTCCTATTAACTGGTAACGATTAACTAACCTTGTACGGCTCACACACAAACTGCACTGTTTCCAGATAGTCGTACTATTAACTGGTAACGATTAACTAACCTTGTACGGCTCACACACAAACTGCACTGTTTCCAGATAGTCGTCCTATTAACTGGTAACGATTAACTAACCTTGTACGGCTCACACACAAACTGCACTGTTTCCAGGTAGTCGTACTATTAACTGGTAACAATTAACTAACCTTGTACGGCTCACACACAAACTGCACTGTTTCCAGATAGTCTTACTATTTACTGGTAACAATTAACTAACCTTGTACGGCTCACACACAAACTGCACTGTTTCCAGATAGTCGTACTATTAACTGGTAACAATTAACTAACCTTGTACGGCTCACACACAAACTGCACTGTTTCCAGATAGTTGTACTATTAACTAGTAACAATTAACTAACCTTGTACGGCTCACACACAAACTGCACTGTTTCCAGATAGTCGTACTATTAACTAGTAACAATTAACTAACCTTGTACGGCTCACACACAAACTGCACTGTTTACAGATAGTCGTACTATTAACTGGTAACAATTAACTAACCTTGTACGGCTCACACACAAACTGCACTGTTTCCAGATAGTCGTACTATTTACTGGTAACAATTAACTAACCTTGTACGGCTCACACACAAACTGCACTGTTTCCAGATAGTCGTACTATTTACTGGTAACAATTAACTAACCTTGTACGGCTCACACACAAACTGCACTGTTTCCAGATAGTCGTACTATTTACTGGTAACAATTAGCTAACCTTGTACGGCTCACACACAAACTGCACTGTTTCCAGATAGTCGTACTCTTTACTGGTAACAATTAACTAACCTTGTACGGCTCACACACAAACTGCACTGTTTCCAGATAGTCGTACTGTTAACTGGTAACAATTAACTAACCTTGTACGGCTCACACACAAACTGCACTGTTTCCAGATAGTCGTACTATATACTGGTAACAATTAACTAACCTTGTACGGCTCACACACAAACTGCACTGTTTCCAGATAGTCGTACTGTTAACTGGTAACAATTAACTAACCTTGTACGGCTCACACACAAACTGCACTGTTTCCAGATAGTCGTACTATATACTGGTAACAATTAACTAACCTTGTACGGCTCACACACAAACTGCACTGTTTCCAGATAGTCGTACTATATACTGGTAACAATTAACTAACCTTGTACGGCTCACACACAAACTGCACTGTTTCCAGATAGTCGTACTATTACTGGTAACAATTAACTAACCTTGTACGGCTCACACACAAACTGCGCTGTTTCCAGATAGTCGTACTATTTACTGGTAACAATTAACTAACCTTGTACGGCTCACACACAAACTGCACTGTTTCCAGATAGTCGTACTATTAACTGGTAACAATTAACTAACCTTGTACGGCTCACACACAAACTGCACTGTTTCCAGATAGTTGTACTATTAACTAGTAACAATTAACTAACCTTGTACGGCTCACACACAAACTGCACTGTTTCCAGATAGTCGTACTATTAACTAGTAACAATTAACTAACCTTGTACGGCTCACACACAAACTGCACTGTTTACAGATAGTCGTACTATTAACTGGTAACAATTAACTAACCTTGTACGGCTCACACACAAACTGCACTGTTTCCAGATAGTCGTACTATTTACTGGTAACAATTAACTAACCTTGTACGGCTCACACACAAACTGCACTGTTTCCAGATAGTCGTACTATTTACTGGTAACAATTAACTAACCTTGTACGGCTCACACACAAACTGCACTGTTTCCAGATAGTCGTACTATTTACTGGTAACAATTAACTAACCTTGTACGGCTCACATTCAAACTGCACTGTTTCCAGATAGTCGTACTCTTTACTGGTAACAATTAACTAACCTTGTACGGCTCACACACAAACTGCACTGTTTCCAGATAGTCGTACTGTTAACTGGTAACAATTAACTAACCTTGTACGGCTCACACACAAACTGCACTGTTTCCAGATAGTCGTACTATATACTGGTAACAATTAACTAACCTTGTACGGCTCACACACAAACTGCACTGTTTCCAGATAGTCGTACTGTTAACTGGTAACAATTAACTAACCTTGTACGGCTCACACACAAACTGCACTGTTTCCAGATAGTCGTACTATATACTGGTAACAATTAACTAACCTTGTACGGCTCACACACAAACTGCACTGTTTCCAGATAGTCGTACTATATACTGGTAACAATTAACTAACCTTGTACGGCTCACACACAAACTGCACTGTTTCCAGATAGTCGTACTATTTACTGGTAACAATTAACTAACCTTGTACGGCTCACACACAAACTGCGCTGTTTCCAGATAGTCGTACTATTTACTGTAACAATTAACTAACCTTGTACGGCTCACACACAAACTGCACTGTTTCCAGATAGTCGTACTATTTACTGGTAACAATTAACTAACCTTGTACGGCTCACACACAAACTGCGCTGTTTCCAGATAGTCGTACTATTAACTGGTAACAATTAACTAACCTTGTACGGCTCACACACAAACTGCACTGTTTCCAGATAGTCGTACTCTGCCTTGTCAGTTCCTGTTATCCTACTTCCTTCAGGTACTCTTCTTTTACATCTCACTCCTGTTAGAGAGATAACGAATAATATTAAATGATAACATCTAAAAGTAAGCTATAACTAAGTATCCATATTCCGTGCACACTTTGAAACCATTTATTTATTTATCTACGATATTATGTTTTTTTGTTTGGTTGAATAACTTTCCGTTAACTGATTGGGATCTGACACATGTAATTTTGTAATGATCTTTCTAATTTCTTATTTCTAATTTCTAAATTTCTAATTTCTAATTTTTATAAAACACGAATGAACTATTTAGAAAACGTAAGACTGTGTCGAAGAGAAAATCCACAGATAAACGAATTCATTATTTGCCAGTTTACCCTTCCATAGAAAACTACCATTGATTTTTAGAAAATTCTCCAAGTATTTGAAATCAAAAACCAAATATTGAATATTCCAACTTAAAAGTGTCTTAAAACAATGGAAATATGTGGGGTGATCTACTAACGTTCACATTTTGGAGAAATCCCATCCCATTCTCCACTTTCAAGGCATGTTCGGGTATTCCGACCTTCTGGTACCATCTTATAGCCTGGATCACACATATACTGCACCGACCTGGTAAAAGGATTTTAATTTTTATCACTTCAGCAGCTTCTTTAAGGTAATAATTATATTGCCTTATGTCTAATATCCACCTGCAACCAAAAACATTAACAAGCCGTTATTTTGCATCATTTAAATATTTTAAATCGTTGCTTTAAGATTTTTTTAAACTCACGTTCCCACCACGTTCTCATCAGCAGTCTCTATAATTCCGTTAAGAAGAGATAGTACGGGACAGGACACACATTTACACTCAGGTGGGGCGTAGGTCCACTGTTTGTTGTTTGTGCACGTTCTTATATCCTCCCCCATCAAGTGGTACCTGGGGGTTGTTACTTAGTAATACTACCTTACCGGACTTTATTAAACCTGGGGGTTGTTACTTAGTAATGTTACCTTACCGGACTTTATTAAACCTGGGGGTTGTTACTTAGTAATGTTACCTTACCGGACTTTATTAAACCTGGGGGTTGTTACTTAGTAATGTTACCTTACCGGACTTTATAAAACGGAAATTAATTAGAGCGTCCAATAATGAACAACAACTAAATCTAAATCACATGAAAACAGCGTTGGAGGCCCTATACTACTAGAGTTCATATTGAACAACAACTGAAACCAGCACTGACCTGTCATCCTTGCACTTGTACTGCACTGCCGCCCCCGGAGTATCGGCACCTCCTTCTAACCCACCACTAATCTGAGTGACACTGCCGTACAGGATATCCCCCACATTGCCACAGTGTTTCACTTTGCAGGAGGTGGGCCCCGGCCCGCTCCACTGGGAACCGTTCAGACAGCGCCTTACAGGGTCACCGTACAACTCGTACCCTTCGTCACACACGTAATGTACTTGCTGACCTGAAGTGTTGTTTAGTTGTTACTTTATTGCTGATAATTTGTGCGATTTTCAAAAGGATAGAGCGTAGTTTTATAACTAGAAAGAGTGTAGTTTTATAAATAGAATTTAGTTTAGGTCTTTGCGCTGGTACCAGCAAATAAAAACATAAAATACAGCAGTAATTTCTGTGTATTAAAATACAGCAGTAATTTCTGTGTATCGAGGTTTATATTTAAATACCAAATAATATAAAAGTATTCCTACTCTTAACATTGTTATAATACCCCATTACCCTGTGGCCGTCCATTAACCTACCGCCATAAGTGTATTTAGTGTCAGCATTAGGGACCCCCTCCAACACAGGGCACACCTGCTCTACACATAAAGGAAACTTGTTATCCCACTCTGCATCCTCACCACACCGTAACACGGCCTGACCCGTCAGAGCGTAGCTCTCGTCACATTTAAACGTTACAGAGCTCCCGCACTCGTACTTTACTCGTATTGTGTTTGCTGTGAGTCTGCCGTTTCCTACTGCGTGATCAGGCTTACTGCACTGCTTCACTGAGAGATGGGGGGTTTTTATAGAAATAGTATTTGAAGTAATAGTGAGGATTTAAAAGGTTGATTATCATGATATTTCGGTCGAGGATCACCCGAAGGCAAAAGTAAGTATGACACAAGCTTGAGGAATAAAAAAGAAAAACTCTCATTTTGTTACAGACTGACTATAAATATACAACTTGTATATTGACTACATACCTTCACACTTAGTAGGTTTAGGAGGACTCCACTACAAATATACAACTTGTATATTGACTACATACCTTCACACTCTGTAGGTTTAGGAGGGCTCCACCTGCCGTCTATACACTGCAGTATCTCCGCTCCAGGGTTAGTCGGGCCATAACAAGGATCACACTCTATTCTGCGCAGAATGTCTGATTCCTTGACTATCCTCCCGTGGGTAACGTTTGCAAGGGGCTCACACTCGCTGTGTTCACATCTTGGGAAGTCTCCCCTCCAGGTCCCATCTTGCTGGCAGGATATTATCATGCTGCCAACTAGGTCCCATCCTGAGGAATGCTTACTGTCAGCAGTAATATTTGGGTAGTTTCCAATAAATCAACCATCATTGAAGGATAATATTCTGGTCCCCTAGCCCTACTTGAACTTTTCCATTCACCTTTTGAAAAAAGTATAGTGAAAGGTTACGAATCGAGGGCAGGGGGGGGGGGGGGTTGGGTCCTAGATTGATTGGGACGATTTTAAGCACAACTACTCGAATTTTATAAACTTAACTGCAAGTAAAATTACACATCTTACCATCTTCACACTCATATTCTATCTCAGTGTACGGTCTGTATTTCCCGTCCGTAGCAGCAGGATCTGGATAAGTTGTAGTTCTCATGTGTTGAGCTACTTCCGGGTGGGGGCAGGTTACTTCCTCACAGGTAGGGATAACTGTGTCATACTTACTGCTGCTCGTGCACTTCAGTTGTTTGTCTCCTACTAGTTTGTATCTGGTACAGTGAGCATGTGAGTAAAAGGTAGTTTGATATATTGTCATGTAAGTAAAGCGCAAAATAATATAGAGCCATCTTTCAAAGATGGCATCTTTGCTAGAGCCATAATGTTTTGGTTTGAACTGAAAATTAATAAAACTCTTTAGCACAAATAATGTTTGCACAAATGTCATGAATTCCTAAATAATACCGACTTACCCTAAATCACATTCAAAGCTAACGGTTTCTCCACACTTGGGTATATCCTCGACATCATGACCACTTGTAATTCTTCCTGCAATATCATCCACTTAACCGTGTACAATACAATTTGTAAGCCTACTTTGTAATAGCATACTAGTGTCTATAGTACTGCAGTAATTTCTTCTGGTCAGACAATCAACACGACGTTTGAGCAAAGTTTGATGCTCAAATCATAATCTACTAAAGTACTAAGAACCTTGCCGTTAGAAATAGCGGGCAGATAACAAAGTATTGGATTGCAAAGTATTGAACCTTACCGTTAGAAATAGCGGGCAGATAACAAAGTATTGGATTGCAAAGTATTGAACCTTACCGTTAGAAATAGCGGGCAGATAACAAAGTATTGGATTGCAAAGTATTTAACCTTACCGTTAGAAATAGCGGGCAGATAACAAAGTATTGGATTGCACGTGGGCTCTGGTGATGACCACGTGACTCCTTTATTCCCATCAAATACACATTCTCTTATCTGTGCGTCTCCTCCCTGCAGCTCAGAGCACGTGTTGCACTGATAGGTAATGTTAGCTCCGTACAGGACACCTTTACCCTGCTCTTGCAGTGAAGGGAACACTGCTCCGTTATTGGGATCGTCCTGGGGTCTACAGGACATCTTCACACATTTAGGAGGTTGTGGGAACCATGCAGTCTTGTCACATCTTATCCAGGGAGTCCCCTCCATCTTGTACCCTTCCTCGCACGTGTACCAATACTGCTGGTTACAATCAGTATCCTCTAGGTTTATCTTTGCTTTCTTCATGTTAGCATGAGGAATAAGAGGGGGAGCCGGGCACTGTTTCCTGGCACATCCACTGTGAGGGGACTCCCAGGTTCCATCAGATTGGCAGAGTGCCTCCTCCGGGTGGGGGACGTGGAAACAGCGTCTCTGTCTGGGGTTTACTCCGCAGGTGTATTCTACCTGGTGTAGTGTAGTGTTAGTGTTAGTTATACTAGTTAGTTATAGTGTTAGTATAGTGTAAGTGTAGTGTAGTGTTATAATTCTACCTGGTGTAGTATGCTACTTTAGTCAGGTTTATTAGTATGGCATCATTATAATATTTACAATAAAAAAGAGGTGCAGGTTTTATTGAAGTTGTTGTAGTATGAGTAGAACTCATGATGATAATTAGGTGTTATCTTACCTCGTACCCATATAGAGTATCGATATACTCAGCTACCAGCGGAAGACTGACAGAAATTTCTCCGCAATCGATCGCCACGCACTCCGGCTCCGTCCCTGACCATTTCTCTCCGTCACATTTTCGTGTTACTGTTCGGGAACTGCAATATTTAAAAAAAATTATAGAGGTGTACATTTTTGGTTCTTATTTTTCTGTTACATCTTATAACAAAAATGACACAACGTACGATAAGATAAAACAAAGAATATGTCACGACTAGCAACGACCAGATATAACACACTCGATCAAGGTCAAGTTCCAATCTACAACCCAAACAAATGTCAGTAAAACAAATCTAACCTTGTATAAGTAAAGTGGTAGCCGGTGTTACACTCGTACGTTACACTAGCCTCACACTGGAAGTTCTGAGAACTTGTCATTCTGCCGTTAGCTGGTGTCCCTGGGTTGGAGCACCTCTTCTCTGAGGAAGATTAGGAAGAGTTAGGGAGATACTACACCTCTTCTCTGAGGAAGATTAGGAAGAGTTAGGAAGATTCTACACCTCTTCTCTGAGGAAGATTAGGAAGAGTTAGGGAGATACTACACCTCTTCTCTGTTAATATTAGGAAGAGTTAGGGAGATACTACACCTCTTCTCTGTTAATATTAGGAAGAGTTAGGGAGATTCTACACATCTTCTCTGAGGAAGATTAGGAAGATTTAGGGAGATACTACATTACCTCTCTGGGAGATTATTTAAAAGACATTTAAGAAGTAAAGGGATGAACTGAGATTTTTAAAATAAAGAGTTGGCACTGACCCTGACAGACAGGGAAACTTCCGTTCCAGTTCCCAGTAGCTTCGCACTTTAACACATGGAACCTTGGGTAGATGCTCTCTGTTTCTTTTACACTGTAGGAAAATTTTATTATTGGGGGGTTATTAGGAGAGCTTCTGAGGGTTTTATTATCTTGTTTATACAAGGGGGTGCTGTATAGGGGGGGGGTGTACAGGGGGGCTGTATAGAGGGGCGGTGCTGTACAGGGGGTGTACAGGGGGGGGGGGGGGCTGTAATCTGTATAGACTATAGAGGGGCGGTGCTGTACTGGAGGACGAAAGTGCAAAGAAACTGCTGCTAACTGCTGCTGACTGCTACTAACTGCTACTAACTGCTGCTAACTGCTGCTAACTGCTGCTAACTGCTGCTAACTGTTGTTAACTGCTGCTAACTGCTGCTAACTGCTGTTAACTGCTGCTAACTGCTGCTAATTGCTGCTAGCAGCGGTTAGCAGCAGTTTCTTTGCACTTTAGTCCCCCTAGGGGGGATGTACACTGTACATTGTACAGGGGGTGTTGTACAGGGGGGGGGGGCTGTATAGGGGGTGTATAACAGGGGGCTGTATTACTAGCTCAACAGAGTTAAAATCATTGGTAAGATTAGTTTTGTATTCTATGTGGAATTCGAAAACAATCTTCATCCGTTTAATCTAACTTGAAATTTAATCAAACCCATGGAAGTGTTTAGTGTTTACCTTTCGTTTTTGAAGGCACTATTAAACTTGTAACAATCATCGCACTTGAACGTGACAACAGTACCGTACTCGTGTGTGAGATCGGGGAAGTGAGAGCGGTTAGGTGAGGAGTTTATTGAGGTGCAGACTTTAACTAAGGGGGGAGGTTTCAGTTAGAGAACCGTGAAACAAAAATATTTAGATATTATTTTAACTATCACAAACCCGTTCATTTATTCGAGGTTACGTGTTGGTGATTGTATAAATTGATGAATCAGTAAGAAAATTAAAACAATTATCATTTAAAAACCAAGTTAAATATTCAGATAGTAAAAAGTGAAATTGTCTTACTTGAGCAGACGGGGTGTTTACCAGTCCACTTTCCCCACTCAGTGCAGTTCCGGACCAAATCACCGTCTGTCAGGTAATACCCTTCATCACACTTGTAAACAGCCTGGGTTTTCAGTTTTAGGATACACACAATACTTTCCCATGACTGATAGGCTAATTTTATTAATAACCGCTAAATATTGTCTTTCAGGGAGGACAGTATACTTATAGCTGGTGTACGCATGACAGGCCCCCTCCCCCCTCTCTTCCTACACCCCAGGTACGCATGACAGGCCCCCTCCCCCCTCTTCCTACACCCCTGGTACGCATGATAAACAAGTTTACTGAAGAGAAGTTTAAAGTAAAAAAACTATTCCTCAAACAAACTAACCGCTCCATCACAAGTGCCATCAATGCTGACGAGACTGCCGTGAGTAGGGGGACTAGGTGGGGCCTCACACGTGATTCTCTCGCACGTGGGCGCTGTCTCGTTCCACATCCCTCTAGTACAGTCCCCAGGGTCAGGTACACACTTCCTCCTCTCACAGAGGCACTCAGAGTCGTGACTGAAGGTGTAGCACCTGTCACATCTGTAACGCGCCATGTCCCCACATCCTCGTCCCGTTGTGTCTACTTGTCCGTGCTCTATTTCCGGAGCTTCTTCACATTGTCTTACTGCAAACAGGTGTGGTGTCGTTTATAGATGGGTGATAGGTTAGTGATCAATAGTTAGTCGGTCGTAAATCAACTAAATTATTGTGGTATATTTACTATATGAGTATATGAAACATCAAAATTTATTTAACATCCTCAATAAATGTAATAGATTGTACTACAATCTGTAGTACAATAGTTATAAATGTTGTGAAAATAGTTTATAACTATGACACGCTCATAGTGATAAACTTTTTCTTCTAAGTCGTCCAATGTTTACATGACTTACAGTTCATTTTAGGCTCTTTTGTTGTCCAAGACCAAGATTTATCGTAATTACATTGCGCTTCCATGATTCCATCCGTCGACTGAAAGACATTATTATTATAAAACAGGATCTTACCGACTAAAATTATTCAAAAAATTACCTTAATGCGATAAACTGTACCCAATTGAAACAGATTTTCCCAACCTCTGTTGCATGCACAGCTATATCTTTGATTTCGTTTAATTCATGCAAGTTACCTATATGCCCTGAAAGACAGGGCTTCCTAATTATCAAGTCATATATCTGAACTGCTATCTACAAATTATTGCTTTTTTGCATTATATCAGAAATGATTGTTCCAATTCGCTAAATTTTCTTTCCACCCTTAAACTTAAATCAACATAATATTGTGTATTAACAGATTAAGCTAATCTATGATTTAAGAATTAATAAAGAAACCATTGTCTCTTCAGCACACGACTCCTCGTAGTAGCACTCGTCACACTCCAGTTCCTTCTTAAAGTTACACTTGTTCTCTCCTGCTTTATAGGTACAGTGTGGTACAGCTGGCGGGGTGGCGCACTTCGACCCTGATAATTAATTGGTTTTTAATTTTTTTAAAGCTGTATTTTAATTTGTTTTTAAACACTTATTGCTTTAAAGGGTTTTTTTTTCTTCGATTTACTCGTATACTTTTTTACGAGTTCCATTTATCAGGATATCCTAAAATTATATAAATTTCCAACTCAAATGAAGATATAGTTTTATTGGGGGTATTTATTAGTGTGCTAACTAATTAATCAGTTATTAAGAAAAAAAGAAAAAAATTTATGTTAAGAAAAAAGAAAAAAATATGAAAATATAAAAAAGTATCTCTTACTGTGGCAAGTAGGGAGGTCATGTGACCAGGTCTTGTTTGTCTGACACGTGTGAATCTGTGACCTTGAACCGTCAGGGAGCTCATAACACTCGTCACACGTCACCTCCACCTGACCGTTCAGTTATATCAAGGAGAGGGAAATGAGTATTTATTTATAAATAAAACAATAATATTATTTTTTAAATAATATAAAATGCTCTTTGAACTGTACTCACAGTGCTCTGACAATGAGCAGGGTTATCTAGACTGTAGTCATGAGGGGAGGTGTAGTGGAGGTGCATGGTTTCATCTACATCTCTGTAGGCGCACTGCTTCACTGAAACGCATTGTGGTGGTCAGATCTTGTGTAGTTAGCAATTTAAATTTAAAACATTCAATTCGAGTTCATTTAAATGCAATGTTGCTGTGTATAGTGTTTAACATAGATTTGGTTGTAAGCGATTCGCTTATTATAACTACTCACATGTGCAGAACTTGTCTCTGTTAGTCCACTCTCCTATTTCTCCTATCTCCGACTGTTTCTTAACACACTGTTTTACGGGCGGGTTCTTTATTCCGTCCACTACTGCTCCATCCTGCAAATATATGCAAATATTTGACAATATGCGGATATGCATTATGCAAATATGCAAATATGAAAATATGCAAATATGCAAATATGTTAATATACCCTGCTTAGTTTCGGGATCAGTGTTTTATTAGGTCCCCTATATTGATGTCTTCACTAGTAAACTAACTAACCTCGGCGTTGTACTCAAAGCAAGGTCCACAGATAGGATCTATCTCCTGACACACATAGTCCCTGTCACATGTGGCAAAGTTCTCTTTAACCGTCATCTCACCCAGTTCCTGTAGAACCGTTCTGGTTCCCTTTCTGTACACCAACTGTGTACTCTTCTCCTCTGTTATTGGGTCCACCGGCTCCTCCAGGTGCTCGCAACAGATAGCTGCGGTGTTGTCAACATGTTACCATATTAGGGCATCACGTGGTACAACAAACACTACTTGCCTTGAAGTGTTAATTCTGGTCTACATTAGAATCTGACAATAAGTCTCAAATACATAATGAATAATTTCCCCAAACTGATGACCTCCCCCCGCCCCTACTACTCACGTTCACAGACAGGAGGGTGGGACCCCGCCCTACTACTCACGTTCACAGACAGGAGGGTGGAACCCCCCGCCCCTACTACTCACGTTCACAGACAGGAGGGTGGGACCCCCCGCCCCTACTACTCACGTTCACAGACAGGAGGGTGGGACCCCCCCCCCCCGCCCCTACTACTCACGTTCACAGACAGGAGGGTGGGACCCCCCCCCCCCCCCGCCCCTACTACTCACGTTCACAGACAGGAGGGTGGGACCCCCCTACTACTCACGTTCACAAACAGGAGGGTGGGACCCCCCCGCCCCTACTACTCACGTTCACAGACAGGAGGGTGGGACCCCCGCCCTACTACTCACGTTCACAGACAGGAGGGTGGGACCCCCCCCCCCCCGCCCCTACTACTCACGTTCACAGACAGGAGGGTAGGACCCCCCCCCGCCCCCTACTACTCACGTTCACAGACAGGAGGGTGGGACCCCCCCCCCCCGCCCCTACTTCTCACGTTCACAGACAGGAGGGTGGGCCCCCCCCCCCCCGCCCCTACTACCCACATTCACAGACAGGAGGGTGGCCCCCCCCCCCGCCCCTACTACTCACGTTCACAGACAGGAGGGTAGCCCCCCCCCCCTCCGCCCCTACTACCCACGTTCACAGACAGGAGGGTGGGCTTCCGCCCCTACTACTCACGTTCACAGACAGGAGGGTGGGACCCCCCGCCTCTACTACTCACGTTCACAGACAGGAGGGTAGGACCCCCCCCCCCGCCCCTACTACTCACGTTCACAGACAGGAGGGTGGGACCCCGCCCCCGCCCCTACTACTCACGTTCACAGACAGGAGGGTGGGACCCCCCTACTACTCACGTTCACAGACAGGAGGGTGGGACCCCCCCCCCCGCCCCTACTACTCACGTTCACAGACAGAAGGGTGGGCCCCCCGCCCTCCCCTACTACTCACGTTCACAGACAGGAGGGTGGACCCCCCCCCCGCCCCTACTACTCACGTTCACAGACAGGAGGGCGGGCCCCCCGCCCTCCCCTACTACTCACGTTCACAGACAGGAGGGTGGGACCCCGCCCCTACTACTCACGTTCACAGACAGGAGGGTGGGTCCCCCCCCCCCGCCCCTACTACTCACGTTCACAGACAGGAGGGTGGGCCCCCCGCCCTCCCCTACTACTCACGTTCACAGACAGGAGGGTGGACCCCCCCCCGCCCCTACTACTCACGTTCACAGACAGGAGGGCGGGCCCCCCGCCCTCCCCTACTACTCACGTTCACAGACAGGAGGGTGGACCCCCCCGCCCCTACTACTCACGTTCACAGACAGGAGGGCGGACCCCCCCGCCCCTACTACTCACGTTCACAGACAGGAGGGTGGGACCCCCCGCCCCTACTACTCACGTTCACAGACAGGAGGGTGGGACCCCCCCCCCCCCCCCCGCCCCTACTACTCACGTTCACATACAGGAGGGTGGCCCCCCCCCCGCCCCTACTACTCACGTTCACAGACAGGAGGGTGGGCCCCCGCCCCCCCCCCCTCTACTACTCACGTTCACAGACAGGAGGGTGGGACCCCCCGCCCCTACTACTCACGTTCACAGACAGGAGGGTGGGACCCCGCCCCTACTACTCACGTTCACAGACAGGAGGGTGGGTCCCCCCCCCCCCGCCCCTACTACTCACGTTCACAGACAGGAGGGTGGGCCCCCCGCCCTCCCCTACTACTCACGTTCACAGACAGGAGGGTGGACCCCCCCCCCCCGCCCCTACTACTCACGTTCACAGACAGGAGGGTGGACCCCCCCCGCCCCTACTACTCACGTTCACAGACAGGAGGGTGGGACCCCCCCCCCCCCCCCCCCCCCCCCCCCCCCCCCCCCGCCCCTACTACTCACGTTCACATACAGGAGGGTGGCCCCCCCCCCGCCCCTACTACTCACGTTCACAGACAGGAGGGTGGGCCCCCGCCCCCCCCCCCTCTACTACTCACGTTCACAGACAGGAGGGTGGGACCCCCCGCCCGTACTACTCACGTTCACAGACAGGAGGTTGACCCCCCCCCCCCCCCCCCCCCCCGCCCCTACTACTCACGTTCACAGACAGGAGGGTGGGAGCTCCAGCCAGCAGTCCCCGTGTTGGTGTTCTGGTTACAAGTCAGAGTCTCACTCCCCACCAGTCTGTAGCAGGGATCACACTCGTATCGTACTGTACCTGTTAGGAGATTATATAAATCTACATATCATCATCTTCACACGAAAAGGGAAGGAAACTTTAAAACAAATAAAGATATCAAGTTAGCAGATAATAATTAATTCTCACCACAAGTACAAGCAGACTCCGGTTCTACTGTCTTAAAACTTCCGTTATCAATAGTGACAGGCTCGGAGCAGGTGATGGGGACGCACTTTGGAAGGTCCTTGTCCCAGAACTTAGTGGGAAGACATTGCAGAGTGTCTGTTATAACATTGTCACTGATCTTATGACAGCAGTCACATTCGACCTCTATCTGTGGAGATGTTTGTATTAATGTGTTGAAAGATAAAGATGTTGAGACAAGATGATCCAGATGTTTGAAGCAGAAGTGCGTTTAGAACAAAATGTTAAAGCGAGATCATGGACTTACAGTTTGGTTGCACTTCTTTGTACTGTGTACTACAGTGTAGTGAAGGTTGAATTCAGTTGGGATCTCAGGAACGTTACACTCTTTCCCTATTTAAAGTTTAGGTTTATTCTAATCAAGTCGTGATTCTGATCAACGTTCTGTATTAAATGTTAGTGAGGATAGGTCATCGTCAACTATAAAATGTGTATAAAGTGTATCTGATTTTACCCAGCAACTACAATAAAACACTCACTGTTACCCAGCAACTACAATAAAACACTCACTGTTACCCAGCAACTACAATAAAACACTCACTGTTACCCAGCGACTACAATAAAACACTCACTGTTACCCAGCAACTACAATAAAACACTCACTGTTACCCAGCAACTACAATAAAACACTCGCTGTTACCCAGCAACTACAATAAAACACTCACTGTTACCCAGCAACTACAATAAAACACTCACTGTTACCCAGCAACTACAATAAAACACTCACTGTTACCCAGCAACTACAATAAAACACTCACTGTTACCCAGCAACTACAATAAAACACTCACTGTTACTCAGCAACTACAATAAAACACTCACTGTTACCCAGCAACTACAATAAAACACTCACTGTTACCCAGCAACTACAATAAAACACTCACTGTTACCCAGCAACTACAATAAAACACTCACTGTTACTCAGCAATTACAATAAAACACTCACTGTTACTCAGCAACTACAATAAAACACTCACTGTTACTCAGCAATTACAATAAAACACTCACTGTTACTCAGCAACTACAATAAAACACTCACTGTTACCCAGCAACTACAATAAAACACTCACTGTTACCCAGCAACTACATTACCTACTACTACATTAGCTACTAAAACAGTAAAACACTCACTGTTACCCAGCAACTACATTACCTACTACTACATTAGCTACTAAAACAGTAAAACACTCACTGGAGCACATTCTGTCAGTGTTGGTCCAGTAACCTTCCTTACTGTTACCCTTCTTGACGCACTTCCTCGTGGGTGCAGAGTCAAACTGTAAACATAACTAGTTACTTTGTTACTACTAGTTAATGTAACATAACAAGTTAATATACTTGTTTTAAACAATCAGTTTTTTGGAGTTTTCAACGTTTTTTACAACTGGTTTAGTTTGGATCCAGTTTCTTTTCGAGAGTATTCCTGTTAACTTGTTAATGAGTTTATTAAACCTCTTGAGCTTAACAAAACTAGAGGTTGGAAAGTAAAGCAGTCGCTCTAAAACTAGTAAAACAAGTAGCGTACTACTACTGCTATGAGTAGCTAATTATCAGTAACCTACCACAGCCCCCTCTGTTCTGTACTCATAGCACTCGTCACACTCAGCTGCTACCTCCTGACACACGTAGTTATCTCCACAACCTGCCGGGTTAGCGCCGTGTGTGTAACGTACTCCCGTAGATATAACCTGTAAGTTTAATACTTTATACACTAATATATTATGTAACTAATAATTTTATACACTACTATGTAGCGAATAGTTTGAGGATGTTTAAGGGTGGGATCTGCAACACTGCTTGTAATTGTATAACGGGATCAATACGGGATCAAAACGGGATCAATACAATTTTACACAAGAATACAATACTTGTATAGATTGGCGATTTTAATTCTGGTCGGTATTAAAATATTTGTAAAGGAGTAAGTGTACTAATATCTAGTATGGTTCACTAGATATTATTACCTGGTAGTGTGGTTACTAACTCCTTTATAAATATTATTATTACCTGGTAGTGTGGTTACTTACTCCTTTATAAATATTATTATTACCTGGTAGTGTGGTTACTAACTCCTTTATAAATATTATTATTACCTGGTAGTGTGGTTACGTACTCCTTTATAAATATTGTTATTACCTGGTAGTCCTCATCCTCGCTGGGTACGGGTAGTAGTGCTGGGCAGCAAATAGCTGAAACGGAATATTAGTCAGCTATGTATAATCATAGTTTATTGTTATAAATTTGTTGAATTTATAACAATAAACAATAAATTAAATTTCTTGTTTCATTCTAAACATTTCTCGTTTCATTGAATAATAAAATCAAAATCTTTTAAAATTAAATGTTAACCATATAATGCACATTTTGCAAAACTGATAAAATGATAAAACGTACGTTGACAGGAGGGAGGGGTGTTGACCCAGCTCGTGAGACTGAACTCCAGATCAGGCTGAGTACATATCACCTCCTCGTTACCTACTAGTTCTGTGCACTCGTTACAAGTGTACTTTAACTGCAGAGATCAGGTGCTTGTCACTATGTGGTGGCCCATGTAATGACAGTAACAAAAAGAATTATTTTGTCATAATTTTCAAGATTGTTTGTTTAAATTCTTTTTTCAAATATTATATTACCTTTCCACCGCAGGACAAAGCTTCCTTAGTAACTGTGGCGTTAGTGACAACAGGGATCTCATCGTCCGCGCATGCCATTACTGAAATTATGACCTAATTAGAAAATTTAAATTCGAGTTATATTTAATATATGATACACAAATTCAAAATTTTCTATATTCACACCATAAAAACATTGTTTTAAGGCTTACATATAATCAAATTATCTGGACATTGACAAATGCTCATGTAAGGAAATGTTGCTATGGTTACATGGCCGTATACTCACTTTGACAGACTGGAGGTAGTCCACTCCACTGGCCCTTAGGATCTTTCTTAATGTCTTTAGGAACACAAGATCTCTCCAGGTCTCCACTCACGTGTCTGTAGCACTTGTCACACTCCCATCTGAAGTGTGGGAGTGTCAGTAATTTAATATATAAGTATATACATTCCCATCTGAACAGTAATTTGATATATAGTGGCGTTTATTACATAGTGAGGTAGTTTATTACTAGCAGGAACCCGTATAACCATATTTTTTCATGCTGATTTAGAGGACATTTGATTTGACCCATTCAAAAAAAAGTTTCAGTGATTTATTATAGAGTGAGGTTGAGGAGATAAGGATGACTGAACTCTGCTTAATCTAATGTAAATCCAATTAGAAAGGAGGTAAAGAAAGTGGTTGAACATAATAAACAGAAAGTGAAGAAAGTGAACAGGTAAAACACTCTACCTTAACGTGGTGGTGCAGTTGTACTCGTGATCGTCGTTCACTAGATAAGCGTTAGAGACTGGCTCAGGTGCATCACATGTCATGTCTGGAAACGATACAGCATGTTACCATGGTTACAATATCACACACTTCTTGGTACCATAAAATGTGACTTATATTTTAAATTTGTTGAAAATACAGTAAGTTCTTACAAATGCAGCTAGGGATTTGTGAGGATGAGATGTTCCACGTTCCATCACTCTGACACATCAACCTGTCTTTGTCACATACATGGTAACAATCTTTAGAAACTGCCTGAGTGAAGGGAGTTGTAAATATTCTACTAATTTAATGTAAATATTGTATTAAAAAAGGGAGTTGTAAATATTCTACTAATTTAATGTAAATATTGTATTAAAAAAGGGAGTTGTAAATATTCTACTAATTTAATGTAAATATTGTATTAAAAAAGGGAGTTGTAAATATTCTACTAATTTAATGTAAATATTGTATTAAAAAAGGGAGTTGTAAATATTCTACTAATTAAATGTAAATATTGTATTAAAAAAGGGAGTTGTAAATATTCTACTAATTAAATGTAAATATTGTATTAAAAAAGGGAGTTGTAAATATTCTACTAATTTAATGTAAATATTGTATTAAAAAGGATTTTTAATAGCTATATGATATATTGAATAGTAAAGCTATAAGATATGTTTAAGAGAGTGAATAACATTCTATTCAAAGAATTTCAGCGATGTCATTTCCTCTGTAAGATAAGTTTAAAAAGTGAATACCTCCACGTCCATTATGTCACCACAGTAGAATGTGTCATCTCCAGAAACCCTCTTTCCGTCTACTGAGCTCTCAAACTGGCAACCACCTGGTTATATATTGATTACTGTTTTAAACAACAACAAATTATCTGACATTTTGTAAGAGTGTCCTTCAGTACACACTTATTTAAGTTGAAATATTAGTGTTAAATTATTATTGTTTCGGGTAGCATTTCTGGGGTTAACTTCAGCTCAATATAATGAATTATGAGTCTTATCTCACCATTATGACTTTATGAGGTGGTCCTAACTCCTAATTCACACAATATCAGGTTTCCTCTTAACCATATGAGTTAATTCACACAATATCAGGTTTCCTCTTAACCAATCTCCTTACCTGGCCACTCTACATCATAGTTATATCTCCTCTTAATCATAATACCAATATCCTTACCTGGCCACTCTACATCATAGTTGTATCTCCTCTTAACCATAATACCAATCTCCTTACCTGACCACTCTACATCATAGTTATATCTCTTCTTAACCATAATACCAATCTCCTTACCTGGCCACTCTACATCATAGTTATATCTCCTCTTAATCATAATACCAATATCCTTACCTGGCCACTCTACATCATAGTTATATCTCCTCTTAACCATAATACCAATATCCTTACCTGACCACTCTACATCATAGTTATATCTCCTCTTAACCATAATACCAATATCCTTACCTGGCCACTCTACATCATAGTTATATCTCCTCTCAACCATAATACCAATATCCTTACCTGGCCACTCTACATCATAGTTATATCTCCTCTCAACCATAATACCAATCTCCTTACCTGGCCACTCTACATCATAGTTATATCTCCTCTTAACCATAATACCAATCTCCTTACCTGGCCACTCTACATCATAGTTATATCTCCTCTTAACCATAATACTAATCTCCTTACCTGGCCACTCTACATCATAGTTATATCTCCTCTTAACCATAATACTAATCTCCTTACCTGGCCACTCTACATCATAGTTATATCTCCTAGAGAACTCCGGTTGTCTCCATGGACACGTCTTCCTAGTGCAGGTTGGCATCTCGTGGTCCCATTCACCAGAACCGTCACATGACAACGTGGCCTCACCGTTCATTTCATAACATCCTGGGATAAGTTTAATTATATTAACCACTCAACCTACTAAATTGCAAACTACATTTCAAAATTTCGAACGTACAAAAAATATAAAGAGATAATGTAAAACTAGATACCCTTACCATCATCACACTCCAAAGTCACAACACAGTTACACTTGAAGTCATTACTGCAAGTCTCCTCCACAATCCTGATGTTATCCCCCAGCACCAGCTCAGGGCACTCCATCTTAACACACGTTATCTCCTCCCCGTCATAAACCCCGTCCACGTGGGATAAAGGGCAGGTCTGGTTACTCGCTACTTGTGTGCAACTTCTTGTGTTGTCCCCGCCTTCTTGTCTGTAGCAGGTGTTGCAGGTTGCGCTGGAGGCTTCTCCGCATTGTAGTGCTCCTGGGGGAGGGTGAGGTAGTAGGGGAAGGGAAGAGGGTGGGAGTTTGGGTATTAGGCTTGGGGTGGCATTAGGCTGGGGGGAGGGAGGGGTGGGGGTGGGGTGGGGGTTGGGTGATGGTGCAGCGGGTTAGGAATATTTAGTAATAGATGGAATACTTGTTTATTTTTTACGGAACCTCTAGGGCAAACAAACAAACAAACAATAAAACCCCACCTTTTTTGTTAGTGACGAGAGCGTTGGGAACGTTTCTCTGTCTGCACATGATAGGGGCACATTGTGGCTCACTGTTGCTCCACACTGTGGTTGTCCCGTTCCATTTGCACGTGCGCTCGCACGTACTCGTGCATGGGAAACTGCAGCTGTTACATTGCACGTGCAGTGTGTCTCCGCACTCCAGTATTTCTCCTGATAAATATTAATATTTTTGGGTAATTTTATAAAACATCTATATTTATGGGTACCGTAAAATTCATAAAGCTAAATTTTATTTATTAAATATTCAGTCAGTATACAGTGTATATTTCCGGTTGCATTTAATAGGAATATATTGTTCCTAATGTTCCTAATGTTCCTAATGTTCCTAATGTTCCTAATGTTCCTAATGTTCCTAATGTTCCTGCTGTTACGCCTACCTTGAGAAACCTCAGCACCATTAAAGAGATAGTTTCCATCCTCGTACGATGTAACAGCAGGACACTTCCTCTTCACACATGTTGGTAGCTCACCAGACCAGCTACCATCAGGCTGGCAGGTGCTTGTAGCGTTACCTTCAATCTGGTGGAGTCTGTGTTATTACCATGGTTACTGTGTTACTGTGTTACTGTGGTTACCAGTAACTGTGTTACTGTGTTACTGTGTTACTGTGTTACTGTGTTACTGTGTTACTGTGTTACTGTGTTACTGTGTTACGGTGTTACTGTGTTACTGTGGTTACCAGTAACTGTGTTACTGGCAGGTTCTTGTAGCGTTACCTTCAATCTGGTGGAGTCTGTGTTATTACTTTATTACCATGGTTACTGAGGTTACCAGTAACTGTGTTACTGTGTTACTGGTTGGGAGGTGAGCGATGTCACGTATCGATATTCATTATATATATATAGCTCCTCGAAGTTAAAAATATAATAAACTAATAAAGAACAGTACCTCATAACAAGGACTGTCACAATAGTAGTTTATTTGGTAGGAGCAGTAGTGAGCTCCACCAGATCTGATGGATAAGTGAGCATCTCCGCTAGCTCCTACTTCCACTGCTGGGTCCGCACACTGTTTCACTGTATAGGAGTTAGGATTATAATTAGCACACTGTATGGTAGTACAATTAGCTTCTTCCATCGTTAAATATTGAATATTTTGTAATCAGTAGACTTAAAAGAGAGTACAAAGGAGAGTATAAGATGAGGAGAACTATTTTTCTTTTCTTTTTTAAAGCCCCTCGTAAGGGGGTTGTCTCTAATGGAATAATTTATTGATTACAATCATAATAAGTTAAAAATAAAGACCCCAATGGGCACTCCTGAAGACATAACTACTAGAAAATATATCTAAACTAAATAGAAAAAACTGAGGACAAATGTGATAAAATCGCATCAAACTGCAAATAATGGAAAATACATTTTGGATTCGTTATTTAATGGCACGCAGCAGATTATAAAAACTAACGTCTACACTCAGGTAGTGACCCATCTCCCCACTTTTTGTTGCAGCACCCCACCTCCGGGGTCCCTGCTAGTTCATAGCACTCGTGACAGTGATAACTCACTCGTCCGGAGCAGCAGGATTTGTCATCGAAATCCTGGTTAACATATGGTCATTACAACGTTAACAGAGGGTCATTACAATAATTATTCCGATTGCAATGATTACAATTACCATGATTTTATGTGTAAATGATCAGATTTAAAGTTTATTTGGGATCTATAAACGGAAATTGTACATGAACCGCTTCAAGTGCTTGTAGAACCGCTGTCACGTGACCTCATGACCTGACAGTGGAAACTAAAACCTGACACGTGACAGTGGAAACTAAAACCTGACACGTGACCTGACAGTGGAAACTAAAACCTGTCACGTGACCTGACAGTGTAAACTAAAACCTGACACGTGGCCTGACAGTGTAAACTAAAACCTGTCACGTGACCTGACAGTGGAAACTAAAACCTGTCACGTGACCTGACAGTGGAAACTAAAACCTGTCACGTGACCTGACAGTGGAAACTAAAACCTGACACGTGACCTGACATTGGAAACTAAGCTGTCACGTGACCTGACAGTGGAAACTAAAACCTGTCACGTGGCCTGACAGTGGAAACTAAAACCTGTCACGTGACCTGACAGTGGAAACTAAAACCTGTCACGTGACCTGACAGTGGAAACTAAAACCTGTCACGTGACCTGACAGTGGAAACTAAAACCTGTCACGTGGCCTGACAGTGGAAACTAAGTTGTCACGTGACCTGACAGTGGAAACTAAAACCTGACACGTGACCTGACATTGGAAACTAAGCTGTCACGTGACCTGACAGTGGAAACTAAAACCTGTCACGTGACCTGACAGTGGAAACTAAAACCTGTCACGTGACCTGACAGTGGAAACTAAAACCTGACACGTGACCTGACATTGGAAACTAAGCTGTCACGTGACCTGACAGTGGAAACTAAAACCTGTCACGTGGCCTGACAGTGGAAACTAAGTTGTCACGTGGCCTGACAGTGGAAACTAAAACCTGACACGTGGCCTGACAGTGTAAACTAAAACCTGTCACGTGACCTGACAGTGGAAACTAAAACCTGTCACGTGACCTGACAGTGGAAACTAAAACCTGTCACGTGACCTGACAGTGGAAACTAAAACCTGACACGTGACCTGACATTGGAAACTAAGCTGTCACGTGACCTGACAGTGGAAACTAAAACCTGTCACGTGGCCTGACAGTGGAAACTAAAACCTGTCACGTGACCTGACAGTGGAAACTAAAACCTGTCACGTGACCTGACAGTGGAAACTAAAACCTGTCACGTGACCTGACAGTGGAAACTAAAACCTGTCACGTGGCCTGACAGTGGAAACTAAGTTGTCACGTGACCTGACAGTGGAAACTAAAACCTGACACGTGACCTGACAGTGGAAACTAAAACCTGTCACGTGACCTGACATTGGAAACTAAGCTGTCACGTGACCTGACACGTGACAGTGGAACCGCTGTCACGTGGCCTGACAGTGGAAACTAAGTTGAACTCACCACCCAAGAGAGGGGACTAGCATTGATCTGCTTGTCAACGTTGGGAATTCTTGGATCTGCACACTCGGTAACTGAAAGAGGAATACTTATTAAACCATCACACCAGATCTGATTAAACTATCACACCAGATCTGATTAAATCAATAATATATTTATAATATTAATCAGAGTAGTGATCGGTATTCTAGAGTAACTAATAATGACCGATAAAGGAACAAATGAATATCCTACGTTTGCAAGATAACTAATAATGACCGATAAAGGAACAAATGAATATCCTACGTTTGCAAGATGGAGGACTGCTACTCCACCCAGCAGTCTTGTCACCGTTAGATACACACTGTATCTCTGAGCCCCCAGTCATCTCGTAGCAGTTACAGTTACATTCTGTCTTCGTGCACTCGTACCCCACCTGTAGTGGTGTGGTTTGTTTTTTGTTTTTTGTTTGTTTTTTTGTTTTTTTTTTAACTTCTCATTTTTAGTATGGTATGGTTGACTTCCTTCATGCTAGGTGGTTGATAATCAACTGATATTTCTTTTTTGAAGAGTGTAAAAATGTTTTTTATACAGCTAAGAATTACCTTATCTCCACAGTTGTAAGAAGCTTCACTGTCCAACAAGAACTCTACAAAGTCTGTTAACCCGGGGGTGGAACATGTCTTAACTGAAAAATTAAGTTGTGAGTTTCCGTCGCTGCTCAAAGTAATGAATAACTGTGGTTGTGATTATTTCATCTCCGTGCACTTACAGGACCTTATTTGAGCGGATATTAATTGGACGCTTGATGCCGTAAAGTTCATTTGAATGTCTGATCAAATAAAGTCTTTCCGTCCAAGTCCTTGGAAATAATAACTTACCCTTGCAGTCGGAGGGGTCCTTGTTCCATGAACCGTCATGTTTACACTCGATAGAATCGTGCTCATCAACATAATGACAGTTGTCTGTGAGGAGATTGTTATTAATATTTGCAGTACTCAGTAGTAATACTGTAGTACTACTGAAAAACTTATAGCTTTATAGTTTAGACGTTTTATAGCTGCTACGTTAACGTTTGAACACATAACTCATAAGAAACTGGGAGATATACAGCATGTTATGGAAATACCTTTAGGGTCGTATGAGATGCTCTCTTTGTAGAAGAAGGATAACTCTTTTCCTGCGTCATCAACACACTCTTTGTCTGTGTCAGGCTTTATACAGGGGTCATCTGAAAAACCAAGCTCAACTTACTTACTAATTAAGTTAATTAAAGGTAATTAACTTACTGATCAAGCTCAACTCATCACTCATCACTCATGATGTGTATTCAAATCAAAGGTTAAAAAACTTATTCTCTCGTCCCAGGGTAAAGGTGACCAGGATACCTGGGCCCCTGTGGCAAACTTCCTGTTTGTTTTATTCTGAATATTTGTTTTATTCTGAACTAACTTACTAATTAAGTTTGATTGTGATCAATGATCATGTATACATGGTTAATATAAAAGGTTGCATCTTTTTAGAAACAATTTTTAAAATATTTAAAGTTATTTAAAAATAAAAGTATTTATAAAATCTTTAAAACTAAGTCTACTAACCACAAGGCAAGTCGGCCTCACAACCCTCCAGTAGTGCTGCAAACCAGTACTTTTCCTGCTCCTCACAGGAACACTTGCCTGTATCTACATCTGAGGGTAAAGGGAGGGTAACAATCTACATCTGAGGGTAAAGGGAGGGAAACAATCTACATCTGAGGGTAAAGGGAAGGTAACAATCTACATCTGAGGGTAAAGGGAGGGTAACAATCTACATCTGAGGGTAAAGGGAGGGTGACAATCTACATCTGAGGGTAAAGGGAGGGTAACAATCTACATCTGAGGGTAAAGGGAGGGTAACAATCTACATCTGAGGGTAAAGGGAGGGTAACAATCTACATCTGAGGGTAAAGGGAGGGTAACAATCTACATCTGAGGGTAAAGACTAAAGGGAGGGTAACAATCTACATCTGAGGGTAAAGGGAGGGTAACAATCTACATCTGAGGGTAAAGGGAGGGTAACAATCTACATCTGAGGGTAAAGGGAGGGTAACAATCTACATCTGAGGGTAAAGGGAGGGTAACAATCTACATCTGAGGGTAAAGGGACGGTAACAATCTACATCTGAGGGTAAAGGGAGGGTAACAATTTACATCTGAGGGTAAAGGGAAGGTAACAATCTACATCTGAGGGTAAAGGGAGGGTAACAATCTACATCTGAGGGTAAAGGGAGGGTAACAATCTACATCTGAGGGTAAAGGGAGGGTAATAATCTACATCTGAGTGTAAAGGGAGGGTAACAATCTACATCTGAGGGTAAAGGGAGGGTAACAATCTACATCTGAGAGTAAAGGGAGGGTATCAATCTACATCTGAGGGTAAAGACTAAAGGGAGGGTAACAATCTACATCTGAGGGTAAAGGGAGGGTAACAATCTACATCTGAGGGTAAAGGGAGGGTAACAATCTACATCTGAGGGTAAAGGGAGGGTAACAATCTACATCTGAGGGTAAAGGGAGGGTAACAATCTACATCTGAGGGTAAAGACTAAAGGGAGGGTAACAATCTACATCTGAGGGTAAAGGGAGGGTAACAATCTACATCTGAGGGTAAAGGGAGGGTAACAATCTACATCTGAGGGTAAAGGGAGGGTAACAATCTACATCTGAGGGTAAAGGGAGGGTAACAATCTACATCTGAGGGTAAAGGGAGGGTAACAATCTACATCTGAGGGTAAAGGGACGGTAACAATCTACATCTGAGGGTAAAGGGAGGGTAACAATTTACATCTGAGGGTAAAGGGAGGGTAACAATCTACATCTGAGGGTAAAGGGAGGGTAACAATCTACATCTGAGGGTAAAGGGAGGGTAACAATCTACATCTGAGGGTAAAGGGAGGGTGACAATCTACATCTGAGGGTAAAGGGAGGGTAACAATCTACATCTGAGGGTAAAGGGAGGGTAACAAATACAAGAGCTAGCACCTGTTTTTAAAATGTTGTTTATCATGGAAAGTATCATCGACAACCCAGAATTTCTGACAGATTTTCCATAGAAACTAAGATATATCAGATATGATTTATCTGTTAGTATTGAGACTGGTAAATAGAGAACTTACTGTTACAGCAGCACTCCTTGACTGCATCCACGCAGTTTGTATACCAGCTGGACGAATCCAGGACCTCAAAACATTGGTTAAAGTCACCTGGAAGTATTTACATTCAACAACAGACAAAACAATAGCTACGAAATGAAAAAATCAGAGCAAATACATATAAAAGACTAAAAAAGTAAAAACACATAACTCAGATATGAAAAAGAAGTTAGAAAATACACACAACCCGACTAAAAACAGCTCCTAACATGGAGATACTGACCGGAGGGGTCCTTGAGAGGATAGCACACTTGTTCAGCAGTTTCCTGACATTCAGATTCGTCTCTACACAGCTCGTCTACCTCTTCACCCTCCTGAAACGTTCAAATCTGCTGGTGATTTTTATATTTGTTTATATTTATATCATTTGTTACTGGTCAACACTTTTTTTGTTTATCTAAAGGTTTTCCAAATGTGCTCAATATTGAGCATGTACAGCAGACTGTCAAGATGAATAACGATGTGCTCAATATTGAGCTTGTACAGCAGAGTGTCAGAATAAAGAACGATGATATTTTATAGAGGCTGATAAACTTGTCCTGCAAAGTTTAAAATATTTCCGAAATTTAACCAAATACACATTTACCAAAATGAAACATACATACTAACAAGTACAATAAAACAGAAAACTGCAGCACAAGTGTGCATGTAGTGTGCATGTAGTGTGTGCATGTTATGAAAACTCACACAAGTAAAGTCGCCCTCTTTCCATTCCTGAATATATTTCCTCTTGTTTTCCTTGAAGGTAAACTCCATGTCATTCTCATACCGGTCAACAAACTCACGAACATGACTGAAATATGATCAATCTACATGGTCTTGATAATCAAAAAGGTTTGTAAAAAGGTTTGTAATATCATACCTTATCGGACCTTATTTGGACGGACATTACTTGAACGCTGGAGGCCCTAGCGTTCACCTTAATGTCCGTTCAAATAAAGTCCGTTCAATTAATGTCCGTCCAAGTTAAAGTCCGTTCAATTTTTTTATATAAAATTTTAACAATCTGAATTCAAGTGAATTGTAAATATCACATTATTGCATGATCACTATCTTGAAGTTGATCTTCGGCTTCTTCTACCTCCACATTTTCTTCTACAACTGGTTGTCTGTCCAACTCGTAGTTGTACCGGGCAACGAAATGATCCCAACTGCTCTACTAGAGAGATACTTGAATGCCTAAAGTACAGCTTAAACTTTATCTCTAGCCCCCCACTCGGTATAGGCGACCTTCGGTGGCTTATGTCAGCTACGATACCTTCTACCATACCACCCATCTCAATAAAGTAGAAGACAAACCGGGATATCTCCCTGCACGAAAACCCATTTGATGAAGATGATATGTGATATTACTATTAGATAATGATCATGTACACATATTTTAACATTTTTACTGATTAAAGACTGCTTTTCTTGCTTACTGTATGAAAAATGGATTTAGAAATCATTTGCTAAAATTAAAAAACGTCAAAAAAAAAGATGAAAAAAATTCGGATTTTTGATGGTTTTGATTGCCTTCTAGCGTTCATATTAATTTCCGTTCATAATTATGTCCGTTCAAGTAATGTCCGTCCAAATAAGGTCCGATAAGGTAGTCTTTTGACATGTAAAAAAGTCGCTTATTGGTTTAATTCATTATCAAAGGAAGGTTTTAAATCCCTCAAATTCTCTTTTCACCTACAAAACTTCGATCTGTTAGAATTTTTCTAGTTAGCTAGTATGGGTTATCTACCTGTTGTCAAGGAAACCACAGATTCCTTTAGTTTTCTCACGGAACAACTCCATATCATCCAAGTTAATTCTGATCTGCTGATGTCCATCAAACGATACCTTCAATAAAATCTTTTAAAAACTATTCACAATGCAAGTAAACATTTCAACCTCACAATAACGCTGAACGTTAAATTTCACATAAAATAGTAGAATAATTACCGTAATGTTTTCAGGCAATTTCACAGTGACGACAGGAACAAATCTGCGGTCATCTTGCTGGGTTCGCACTTGGTGGTCTGCTAGAGAAATAATGTAGTCAGCTCCCTCTATAACCGAGCCCAGGTTCATTTCTATAGCGTCCACTGTTACCTGGAGACAGAGTGAAATTAACTTATGTGGAGAAAAATTCAAATTAACTTGCCAAAATGACAGTTTGAATTAAACGGATTAAACGGATTGAACGGATTCAAAAGTCAAATTACAATGGTAATGTCTGACCCAATATAAAAAGTAAATTAACCCAAAAGTCAAAAGTTTGAATATAAATACTGTATCCAGAATGAATACAGTGTAAAATTTAAATTAACTTGCCAAAATTACAGTTTGAATATAAATACTGTATCCAGAATGAATGTTGTAAACTGTTAAATGGCTGTACCTTTGGTCCAGATTCGAGGGTTATCACCGTACTAGCTGTTTTAATCGTGAACACAGTATCCATGATCAACTCACCCGCCCTGCAAATTAGAAAACTATCATCAAGGGTTTTTAGGGGTTCTCATAGCTTTATGTTGTGACGATTATTGCATTTTCGAACTAAAATTCCAGCCTTTTTACCCAACTCACATACTCCCTGCAGGCCCCCTACTCACCTCTCATGAGTAGCGGTAACAGAGTTGTTAGTCTCAGAGGAAGCAAACACCAGCACAGAAAGACAGTCCTCGTAGTAGTTGTAAGCCATGTCATCCCACGTGACCACGCTTTTAGCGGCTTTCTTCATCTTCTCGTTGTTGTCTGAGTTCACCAGCTGCTTTGTTTGGGCTACGTAACACTTGCCGTGGTCCGGCCGCTTGTAGACTGGGGGAATAACAGTTACCATAGTAACACTACCATATTAGGTCATGTTATCATAGTAACACTACCATATTAGGTCATGTTACCATAGTAACACTACCATATTAGGTCATGTTACCATAGTAACACTACCATATTAGGCCATGTTACCATAGTAACACTATCATATTAGGTCATGTTACCATAGTAACACTACCATATTAGGTCATGTTACCATAGCTCCATAGTAAGTTATTGCAAAGTATTAGGCAAGGTAACCTTTAAGGAATCAATAGTTTAGAAAATACCTCAACTGCAGTGATAAGGTTCATTCTCATGAATACAAGCACTAGAGAAGTGTTATAGTCAGCTATTCCTTCTTCCTCTTTACTTACAAGGACAAATATCGAAGAGTAATCTGTTGGGGGTGGCAGCCCTGTTAGCAGATGGTGAGAGTGTGAGTGCTTCTTTAGTAGATCTGCTTAGTAGGACAGCCTTTAATCTAGCTACTTCTCCTGCCTGTTATAAAGTGTATTATTTGGGATTATTTTTTCCTTTTCACCCTTTTGAAAAAAGGCAATAGTGAAAAGTTACGAATGGAGGTTTCTGCAGAAAAACGTGGATTTTGGAGAATAAGATAGGTGGGTTTAAATATGTCGTGTGTCCTTCCTTCCTTCCGTTCGTTACCATGCAACGAAAAAGTTGGGCGCGCGCGAGGATTGCTTGCGGAGATGTGATGTATAGATAGCCTGTGATCTATGAATGCGCGGCGCGACTGTGTTTTAATGTATATGATGCATGTAATGTATAATATTACTATTAGGTAATACGCCCAATTTTTACGTGGCACGGGTAGTGTATTGATGTGTACACGAGTATAGTTTACATTTGCTGATAATTTCTTGAATTACAGATACAAGTTAAGTTCTACGGCAATTGAACTGAATTTCAAGTGTTTCCCGTATTTGATGCATAATTTATCAATATTATTATCATGAAGATTGAAGTGAGCTGATTGGAGCTTATACTTAAATTTTTAGTAAATGTGAAATGGAAATCTAGCGTCCGCCAAAACGAAACAACGGGCGCAATTCTTGTTTAGATAAGGGAAATAAATTGGGGTCTTTACACGACGACAAGGAGGGGGGGGGGTTTAAAAAGACATGAGGGGTCCCCAGTCTCCAGTTCACGCCCCCACAGCTAAGGACCCGGCATGTTAACTAACCTCTCTGATCATAAGGAGGTTCTGGATAGCAGCACCCGCGACAGCACCGGCTGCGTAGGGGGTACCAGTCTCCTTTGTAATGCTGGTGTCGTCAGAGGAACTTGCCACAGATACTTCCTCACCTGGGTACAGTGTAAAATGCTATGTTGGCAGTACACTACAGTGTATAATGCTATGTTGGCAGTACACTACAGTGTAAAATGCTATGTTGGCAGTACACTACAGTGTATAATGCTATGTTGGCAGTACACTACAGTGTATAATGCTATGTTGGCAGTACACTACAGTGTATAATGCTATGTTGGCAGTACACTACAGTGTATAATGCTATGTTGGCAGTACACTACAGTGTATAATGCTATGTTGGCAGTACACTACAATTTAGTAGTTCTGAAGGGGTACCCTAAAAATATTAGAATAAGCTAATGAAAGATACATATTGAAATTTGGAATGAGATTGAGATTATAGCCGCTAGCCTACGTTATAAACCCAAAACACTCTGGTACCTGGAGCCCAAATATCAATACATCTGCCATAGTTAGAACTGGAGGACTGAGTGTCGGTCTTGGTGGAGGAAGCCACTACCATAATACCTATCTCATCTGTCTGGGGGGGGGGGGTTACAACGTTACCAAGGCAACTATAGTAACCAGGCAACTATAGTAACCAGGCAACTATAGTAACCAGGCAACCATAGTAACCAGGCAACCATAGTAACCAGGCAACCATAGTAACCAGGCAACTATAGTAACCAGGCAACTTTAGTAACCAGGCAATTATAGTAACCAGGCAACTATAGTAACCAGGCAACAATAGTAATCAAGCAAATATAGTAACCAGTTACTACCTCAGTTACAACCTTACCAAGGCGAGGTTTATAAATTATAAATGAGATCCATTGAGGTAATTAATTAATTAATTGATTAATTAAGCAAACAGAACTAACCGGAGAAATAAAACTGCAGTGGTTGGAGGAAGAATCGCCAGCAGGAAGAACCACAAGTTGATTCTCAGCGAGTGTGTTCAGTTCACTAGGCACGGAGCCAGAGAGTGGGAAAGAGAGGAGGATAACAGCACGGTGACCGGGGTTGGAGGATATGTGCTGCTGTACCCATTGTAGACCTGAAGTGGCATCAGGGTTATGGAATCTACAAAAATATTTGCTCCTGCAGGAGTGATTAGAGGACTAATTCTAAATTAGAGGACGTACTAGAAACTGTTTTCCAGAAGCGATCACTGCCTTAAGTATATATTCGTGGCATATAAATTCTCATCAACTGTTATACTGTTCTTTAGCAGTGTTAAGTGTTGAAGAGGCCCTAGTGTGGATCAATAACAGTGGAGTTCCCACCTACGAGTGAAAACTGAGAGGTGGCGCGCCTGAAAGGTGGCGCGGTGTATGCAGAGTATATAATGTGAGCCTTGCGGCGCGGCTGACTTTAGCTTCACTCGTAGGTGGGAAAAGGTGCCTGAATGGTGGCGCGGTGTATGCAGAGTATGATAATGTCAAATGTCAGCCTTGTGGCGCGGCTGACATTAGCTTCACTCGTAGGTGGGAACTCCACAGTAACAAACCTCGAGAAAGGGCTGAAGAGGAAACACTCTGTCCACAGCCCACTTTTACTGGGATCACATTAGCTCTTCTGGCTATTCCGTTGTAGCCACCAATTGCTATGGAGGCAGCTCCTGGGTAGTTTGTTGTAAAACAAAAAATGTTTATCAAAGTGAATACTCGATACAATTAATTAACTTTTATGTTCAGAAGACAAAGACACAAAATTTGCTTCAATTTTTCAAAACTATTCGACTAACAAAATACCTGTTGCGTTATATTTATGATATTGATGCTTTTCATACAAAAAAGTTAAACCAAATTCTTTATGTCATGTATCCTGGGCAATTTGGACAGGATATGTCTGCTTAAAATACTTCCATCGTGTCACATTACATAATTCTCAAATTATTTGTTATATAGTAGTGTTGAAAGTATTAAAACTAAAATTAAATATACCTGTGGAGACACCACCACTACAGTCCTCCCGACTATCACTCCCATCATAACTATACCCCTCCAGTACACGTGCCCCGAACTCCACGTGCGTCGCGCGCACACCACCCCCCACCACGTACACATCTCCCTCCGCTACATTTTCTATTTTACCATCAGTACCGTCTGGGTGCAGCTTGAGCTCGTTCAGCCTGGGGTGGTTGTTTTATAGAAGGTTTACATCTCACTGCAGTTTATAATGTTTGAAATATAGCAGGATTTAACGTGATTTTCTATTTCGATTTTATTTGAAATACGTTTGTTGTGTAATGTGTATAAGTCACCTGTCTAAAGCCCAGTCCACACCTTCGATAGCCTGGCGTCGGCTGATCCGTTTTAGCATCCAGTCAGATCCAACTTCATGAAATTCTGAAATAGTGGATTTTTCGTCAGCGGTGATTCAGAAGTTTTTTCTGATTTAAGATCTTTGTCGGAAATATTATAGTTTTTTCAAAATTTCACAATATTTTTTTTTAATCGATAAATTTTCACGATATATTTGACGAATCGAATAAGATTTGTGGTAAATACAAATTTTTAATTCAGCAAACTTACCACTGAAACACTCAGAAATCAAAAGCACCGCCAAGAACGTTGAAAAGGATTTCCTTGACATTTCTGTTACAGTTACAGTCAAGTTGCTTTAACCATAAACCTATGACAATAGTTTAGTTCAACCGTTATAATAGAAATATCAAATATGAATTGAATAAAAAGATTAAGAAAGAAAAATAATGTAATATCTGGATAGTAACATAGTCACGGTGAGTTAGAAATATTTTCTATAATGATTCACAGTTGTTCTAAACTTTATGCTAGATCGGAAATATATCAATCTATGGATTGAAAAATAAAACTCGAAATTAAATGAAATAAACTTAAAAGTTGATTAATTTATTACATGATTCAATTAATTTGATTTAACGCAAATCGACAATTTATTAATTACAAAATGAAACATTGAACAATCATCCTCATGTAAAGAATCTAAAATAATTTTTTACTGTTTTTATTTTCAGTTTTTCGCACTATTAATTTGTCATTCAGCTCTTGTATATTGTCAAACATAAAATTAGAATTACATCAAAGTTTAACAAAGGTAGATTTATGATTTATGATTCAAGTCACTATGATTTGAAAATCTATCATTTCAAATTGAGGAGCAAGTATATCATGTCCCTGACACTGTGACATTGTGACACTGTTACACTGTGACACTGTGACACTGTGACACTGTAACACTGTAACACGTTAACACTGTGACACTGTGACACTGTAACACTGTAACACGTTAACACTGTGACACTGTGACACTGTGACACTGTGACACTGTGACACTATGACACTATGACACTGTGTCACTGTGTCACTGTGACACTGTGACACTGTGACACTGTGACACTGTGACACTGTGACACTGTGACACTGTGACACTGTGACACTGTGACACTGTGACACTGTGACACTGTGACACTGTGACACTGTGACACTGTGACACTGTGACACTGTGACACTGTGACACTGTGACACTGTGACACTGTGACACTGTGACACTGTGACACTGTGACACTGTGACACTGTGACACTGTGACACTGTGACACTGTGACACTGTGACACTGTGACACTGTGACACTGTGACACTGTGACACTGTGACACTTTGACACTGTGACGCTGTGACACTGTGACACTGTGACACTGTGACACTGTGAGTTGTGACACTGTGACACTGTGACACTGTGACACTGTGACACTGTGACACTGTGACACTGTGAGTTGTGACACTGTGACACTGTGACACTGTGACACTGTGACACTGTGACACTGTGACACTGTGACACTGTGACACTGTAACACTGTGACACTCTCACACTGTGACACTGTGACACTGTGACACTGTGACACTCTCAGTCGCACACGGAGTACTCCCTATCCTCGTACACTGTTACAGACCACACAGTCTCCGGTGTACAAGTACCCAGGATACATGAGGCTGGTTTCTTTATCTGCCGCTTTACTGGGATCTTCCGGACTTCCTTCCGGCAGTCTGAAGGAGAAGGTCACGTGTTAGTTTAGTAAGAGTAAGCAACTTAGTTTAATCAGAGTAGATATAACACTGTGACATTGTTGTTACCATAGTTACACTGCTAGTTACCATAGCTACACTACTAGTTACCATAGTTACACTACTAGTTACCATAGTTCTCTTCAACGAGAGATATTTGGCAGAATCTACAATGAAGTTTTTTTTTCTACAGTGAAGTTTGACATTGAGGTTTTTAATTTTAGGGAAAGATTATAATTGGGTTGTGTTTGAATATCCCTTGTTTATAACTTGTATTTGATAATATCTGGCCACTAGGCTGTATTTGATAATATCTGGCCACTAGGCTGTATTTGATAATATCTAACCACTAGGCTGTATTTGATAATATCTAACCACTAGGCTGTATTTGATAATATCTAACCACTAGGCTGTATTTGATAATATCTGGCCACTATGCTGGTTTATAACTTGTATTTGATAATATCTGGCCACTATGCTGGTTTATAACTTGTATTTGATAATATCTGGCCACTAGGCTGTATTTGATAATATCTGGCCACTAGGCTGTATTTGATAATATCTGGCCACTAGGCTGTATTTGATAATATCTGGCCACTAGGCTGTATTTGATAATATCTGGCCACTAGGCTGTATTTGATAATATCTGGCCACTAGGCTGTATTTGATAATATCTGGCCACTAGGCTGTATTTGATAATATCTGGCCACTAGGCTGTATTTGATAATATCTGGCCACTAGGCTGTATTTGATAATATCTGGCCACTAGGCTGTATTTGATAATATCTGGCCACTAGGCTGTATTTGATAATATCTGGCCACTAGGCTGTATTTGATAATATCTGGCCACTAGGCTGGTTCACTCACCACATCTCTCCGGTAGGTCACCTGACCAGAGTCCGTCTTCTTGACACTTTGTGATCCACCCTCCTTTCAGATTAGGACACTTCACCTGGAATAGGGGGTTGGCTGGGGGAACCACTTATATATAATTATACATAATTATACATAATTAACCACTTATATATAACTGTTATCTTCATTTCCTACTCTCTAAATGCAGAGAACTCTACAGACTGTAATCTGTGTGCAGACTGTAATCACTACAGTACACGGATACGGGTACATTTCCCATTCCTAAGCAAACTAATAACAAGCAAACCTCTACAATATCCTGGAAACTATGACCAGTGCTCGAGTGGATCCGGCCTCCCTCGGGTACTCTGAAGTTCTCCGTGCAGTTCAGTCCTGAAAACATCAACCTGGTTACCTAGTATAATTCTCAGAGGACTGTTACTCAAAAGTGATGATAATATTACGAAGTACTGTGAAACATTTAAGTGTTTGACGGCTGAAAGTATTGAACTAAATATTAAATATGACACATGTATTACGAAGTACTAGGTAAGTATTTGACGGCTGAAAGTACTGAACTAAATAAGACACGTACGTTTACAAAGAGGCTCGTCTCCACTCCAGACCCCTGAAGCAAGACAGTGCCTAGTAGCTTCACCCACCACCTCGTAACCAGGGTAACACACGTACTCTACAAATGATTCGTACGAGTTGGAGTCCGTAGAGACTATGTACCCGTTAGTAGGTTGATTTAACCGGGGGCATTCGTCACCTGGAGTAATACAGTGTTAGTAAAGGTGTTAGTAAAGGTGTTAGTAAAGGTGTTAGTAAAGGTGTTAGTAAAGTGTTAGTAAAGTGTTAGTAAAGTGTTAGTAAAGTGTTAGTTAAGTGTTAGTAAAGTGTTAGAGTAATGGTGGTGATACTGATAGTCCTTCTCTTTCAATTAGGCTGCGCATTTCAGATTTTTTTTTCTATATTGCGGTAACAAATGAACTAAATTACAAAACCTAAGTTGATTGAAATGCCACTATATACTTATATACTATAAGGTTTACAATAAAAGTTTCAACTTACAAACACAGTAGGGAGGTGCATAGTCCCACTCTCCCTTGTGAGTACACGTGATGGTCTTAGCCCCCCTCATCTGATAGCCCTCCTGGCACTTGTAACTCACAGCGTCTTGGTACTCGAAACTGTCGCCCTCTCTCATTCCCCAGTCAGGTACACCTGTTAATGTAACACCTCTTTATGACTTAATTAATTAATTAATACAGTTATTTAGATACCACATTTTTCAATTGATTATGTTAATCGGAGCCCGCCGCAAGATTAATTAATTTAAGATTTATTTACTAATGCTAATACTTATAAAGTTATAATACTAAAAGCCGCGCTAACCAGGATCCCCGCAGTTATAATACTAAAAGCCGCGCTCGCGCTTATAAACTAACCAGGATCCCCGCAGTTATAATACTAAAAGCCGCGCTAACCAGGATCCCCGCAGTTATAATACTAAAAGCCGCGCTCGCGCTTATAAACTAACCAGGATCCCCGCAGACTTGTTTACTACAAGTTGGCTCCACGCCCTGCCACTGTCCCTTAACACACTGCAAGTAACTATCCCCACTTTGTTGGTAACCTTTGTTGCACGAGAACTCTAGGTAGTTAGACCTGAGGGAGGGATATCTGTTATCTGATTTCAAACACAAGGATTTATTTTTACCAGAACTCCAGGACGTATTTAGACCTGGGGGAGGGATATCTGTTGTCTCATTTCAAACACAAGGATTTATTTTTACCAGAACTCCAGGTAGTTCGACCTGAGGAGTTAATGAGGGATATTATCAAGTTTACATCGTGATAATGATATCAAAGTTGCAATAATAAAAGGAATAAACGAACCCGATAGCCTGTCTCATACCCCCGTTCTCTGGAGTATCTATTGACGGACACTGAATGTCCGCACACACAGGAGCGGACCCTGACCATCTCCCCTCCTCGTCACAGGTCCTGATCCTTGCCCCGTGTAGGTTGTGCAGCTCCTCACAGGCGTACTCTACTGTATCACCACACGAGTATGTTGCCTGGGAAACGAGGGTCACAAACTCTGGCTGATCCAAATGGTCTAGTAAAGAGGTAGGTAAAACAATTCTGTTGTTAAATATATATATATTTATATGCTTAGATTTAAGTTCAAAATTAATCTCTGTGAAGTGCTACTTTTATTTGTAATTGTTCTGAATCAATGCCAATATAAGAAGCATCACGATTCATGAGAGGCCCTACAATACAAACATTCTCACCTTTGTAGAGTCATATCCGATAATGTAACTGTTTGGCTCCTCACCAGGAGGGTAGCACACATTCTCCCTACAAGTGGGGGGTTGCTGTGGCAACCACTCCCCATCATAACACGTCAGGTCTCTGTAACCCTCCAGACTGTAACAGCTATCACAACTGTAGGAAGCTACCCCACCCTCCTTGAGGGAGCTGCTGTTATAAGACACTGTCCCGTTATCAGGTTGGGTGGGTGCCTCGCAGGTCTCTCTGGAGCACCGTGGTGGGGAGTCTGACCAGGAACCATCCTCCATACAAACCTGGAGGGGGATGATGTTGTAAAGGGTGATTATATATGATGTAGTGGTGTCAATGATGAGTGGTGTGTGACGTGAAAGGGTGGAGTGGTGAGGGTGAAAAAAGTGTTCAGATTACATTACAATAACATTAAAAAACTAGGCTTGTGAGGTAGATGAAAACAATACAAACCGTTTCTTGTCTGCCCACTAACTCGTACCCATCTTTACATTCATAATATATCAACGTATGTAGAGGGTAGGAGTCCCTCTTCATAGGCTCCGGGGTAGGCAGCATGGAGGGGTCCATGTTGTCACTATTGGGGGTGCTGAGAATATAGATAAAAATTATTCAAACAATATATACATAATTGTCACAATGACCCTATATAATAACAACCCTTTAAAAATCAATATATTCCCTATCTCAAAAATTTAGAGAAACATTTGAAAATCACCCTTGACCTTGTGGCTCCAAATTCAAATCTAAACTATTGACAAAGTTTTTTCTCGCACCTGATAATATAGTAGTCTCCGTTTTTAATGTCCAGCTCATAAGCCAAACAAGGGTTAGGTTGGCAGGTGGGAGGAGAGCCGGACCACCTCCCATTCTCCTGACAGGTAAGACTGGTGGGTCCGGTGAGGGTGTAGCCGGAGTAACACTGGAATGTTCTCGTGCTGCCGCAATAGCCTGAGTAGCTGTTGTCGCTGTAGTTACCGTTACTGAGGAGACAGACAGTTAGCTGCAGTAGTAGTGACGTCACCAGGAGTAGTGACGTCACCAGGAGTAGTGACGTCACCAGGAGTAGTGACGTCACCAGGAGTAGTGACGTCATCAGGTTAGCTGCGAGGCGAACAACTTTTTGATTTTGGCAACATGATTATAAAACATCTAATATGATATATAGAACAAACATGTGACATGCACCTGAACTTGATGATATCACACTTAATGAGTTTGCAGTAAGGTAGCTCCTCTGACCATGTCCCATCTGCTTGGCAGGTGTGGTCCGAGGATCCTGGACTAACTCCGTTATATGGAGTATGCATCTCGTAGCAACTGAGGGAGTCACCATAGTAACACTACTAGTTACCATAGTTACAGTGGTTTTATTAACAAGGGAGTATGCATTTCGTAGCAACTGAGGGAGTTACAGTGGTTTAATTAACAAGGGAATATTCTGTTGTTGACTTTTTGAAAATAGTTTATTGTTCTTACCCTCGCACAAGATTATTCTCAATTTTCTTGTTGTGTTCCAAAACTCTGTGTTAAAAGTATCACCAGCATTACGATGGAATACTTCATTCATACATGAATAACTCACCTATCACACTTGACTCTCACAC